CCGCCCCGCGGGACCGGCTTACCGCCTCGGACGGCTGCGACCAACACAGTCCTGTACTCGGAGGGAGGGGAGAGCGAGGAGGAGGCGGTCGCTGCGGACGCGTACATGATCATGTCCCCACCCCCGAAGAAGGCGCCGGCTGCCTCCAAGACCAAAGTGGCCGGCGGGGCAGGCGCGGTGAAGCGGGCGAACAAGAAAACGGGGGGAGGGAAGGGCGGCATGGAGGGCGAGGGGCACGCCAAGGAAGCTCTCTTCTCCCCGCTGAAAGGCACTTCTCCTGCCGTCGTGAAAAAGGCGCGGAAAGCCGCCGCGCCCGCCTCAAAGGCCCGAGGGGCGACGAAGAAGACGAATAAGGCAAAATCTGGCTCTGAGGAAGAGGAAGAAGAAGAGGAGGAGGAGGAAATGACCGCTTCGCCCGTAGCGCCTCGCACGATGGCCCCGCGTCGCGCCGCTGCCAAGAAAGTCGTGTACGACATGAGCGAGGAGGAAGGGGAGGAGGAAGAAGAGGAAGAGCCAGACAGTGAGTTTGAGGAAGAGGAAGAGGACGATTCGGATTTCGAGGGTTGAACGTTGTGGTTAAGCATCGGTCAGCTGACTCCCAGCGTCTGGAGGAAGATGTGACCAAGCGTGTGAGAACTGTGCTGCCTGGGGACGATGATGGCGACATGGTGGGAGGCAATGTAGACTAGCAAGGCAGTGCAAGAATCAGGTGTACTTGTGCAAGGGCGCGGTTCAATATGCTAGTGGTGAAGGAGGAAAGATACGGAAGTAGCAGTACACATGAAAGTCCGGCGTCCAAACATGGCGCGAACCATAAAACAGAAAAAAAGAAGATTGCTTCTGCACTCGCCGCAGTCCCATGATGCTCCTTCTCGTTCTTTTCAAGCGCTGCCCCATGCTCAGGCATACACGGCCTGGGCGGGAGACAAAGTTTCCGCCTCCCCCTCCTACCCACGCCTGCTTGACCGCTTACCCCCGGTCATACCCCCTCAGCACTCTCCCACAAACCCAGAAACGCATCAACACCTCCGCATCATTATCTTTCCCCATCGTACCCGTCCCAGGCCTCGATGCATCCTACTACTCCACCTCCTTGCGCCGCGTGAACTCGACCTTCCCCGAGCTCAGAAAGTCCGTGTGCTCTTGGTACGGATCCTTGCCCAAGGCCGTCGGCTGCCAGAGGTCAGGCGTCAAGTAGCCGTACGTCTTGGAGAGGGCCGAGAAGACCGCCTTGACGAAATTGCCCAGCGTGCGGGAATTCCCCGTGGTGGCTGTGTACACGTCCTTGATCCCCGCCATGTTCAACAACTTCTTGGGAACGGGGGCCGCCACCAGGCCACAGCCTCGAGGCGCAGGGACCAGGCGGACAGAGACGGACCCGCATTTGCCGGTCACCTTCACAGGGATGGTGTGGGGTTTGCCAATCTTACGGCCCCAGTAGCCTCGGCGGACAGGGACGATCGACAGCTTGGCCATGATGATGGCGCCTCGAATCGCCGTCGCCACTTCCTTCGCGCACTTGACGCCAAGCCCCACGTGTCCATCGTAGTCACCAATGGCCACAAAAGCCTTAAATCGAGTACGCTGTCCCGCGGACGTTTGCTTCTGCACCGGCATGATCTTCATCACCTCGTCACGAAGGCCAGAGGTGGGGGCCACGACACCGGGGGGAGGGGCGGCAAGGAACTTGTCAATAATCTGGTACTCCTTCACCGGCAGAGAGTATAGAAAAATCTCCTCGAGACTTTTAATCTTGCCCTCCTTCACGAGCCGGCCGAGTTTGGTGACCGGAGTCCAGCCCTCCTTCTCGTCTTTGTCTCCTCCACGCCCGCGCCCGCGCCCGCGACCACGGCCACGGTCGCCCCTATCTCCACGTCCTCTACCGAAACCACCACGGCCGCGTCCAACATCGCCGCCGCCTTCCATACTTTGGATTGCCTGGAGGAAAAAACTTCCTGTTGATAGTTGAGAAGGCAGTGATGGGAGGTATAGGAAAGGTTTGTCAGAAAGAGCATTAAAGTAAAGGGTTAAACACACCAGCGCACATATTTCTACCATATGTATATCGTGGCGTGCAAAGATGCGTTTCTATATTTTAATTGAAACAGAAAACTCCAGACATGACCCCGGGAGAAGTGTTGGGCGAGACGTAAGAAGTACTGAGCATCCCCTCCTCACAATAAGTACCAAAGACCACCTCTCCGAGACCCATAAGAAAAATTTCCCCTCGTTGGCGTACATTGTATGGTTTGCACCATTGTCTCCAACAACGCAAGAAAAGACATCAAAGGGAAAGAAATGCGGAAAGTCGCGGCGGCGGAAGACGCAGGGCGGGGGGTGGATGGATGGTGTTGGGAGAGGGACAGCGAGTGGCCGGGAATGATGGAAAACATACCCTGTGGGAGGTAAGATGACGATGATGATGGTGGAAAAGGACCTTTTCCTGGTCGTGCCGATCCGTCCACCGATCTGTCCGCACGTCCGCACTGGCTTGTGACCTCGCCGCACCTGAAAACTTTACAGAATAGCATGAAAGAAGAGAACCGAGACAGATTGACACGGGCAGATTATTTTGAGCCTGGTGTAAATCGTTCCCGTGCTCCAGCACTCAATAACGTTTCCTTCTTTCACCACTTGTTTACTAGCTCAGACCATCCTCACGCGTCAAATAGCCTTACATTTGATGCCCGGGTGTTCAGACCGCGTCATGCCTTCCTTCATTTCAAATGTCGTATGATGATCTACAATATCATCCATCCAAAACTCTTCATTCAGTACGGCAGCGTCTGACTTTCTCTTAATGGTAGCTGCACGAGGCGATCTCGTGTTCGCAAAAGTGAAAGGGAAAACCACGCCGATAAGGATTTCGTTCAGGTATCTTACATCGAATGTAGTGGAACAATGCACTACATTATTTAAGCCTCTTACAAATGCTCCGTACAGGTATCCGCTGAGGTTCTTGGTGCCTACAAAGTTAGACGGGGACTCCCGTGTGGACAGCTGTTGGGTGGTGAGATGAGTTTTAGTGCGGGCCGATGGCCATCTAACAGGAGATTGAAAGCCTTATGCACGCGGCATACCACAGTACTCATTAAATTACGGCGGGGGGCTTGTTGCGGGCGACCAAGTGCACGTCACGTGTGACGTCGGTGCTGAATGTACGGCGGTGCTTACAACGCAGGTGAGAAAAGTATTAAATTAAGAATAACGAGAATATTCGCTTAAGACCCAATCGTAAAAAATCACAGGGGAGTACAAAAATATACAAAATGAGACCGCTGCTCGGTGCCTCGTCAGCCACCTCTGGGGTCACGCGGCAAACCCTCACGGCCACTGTGGCGCCCTCTGCAACGCTTGCTCTCCTCCCAGATTTCTTGACCTGCTTCCGGTGCGTCAACGTCCGCAAAATCGTCCCTCTCTTGGTCCCTGACTCAAAACTTTTCTTTTCTGTGTCTTTCTCACACTAAAGTGGGGCGGACTACGAGCAATCGCAAGAGATCCGCATGCTTCGGGGCGGGAACTTGGTCCTAGTGGACTGGTACACCAGCGGTCGCATGGGTCGCGGGGAGTCATGGGCCTTCCGCCGGCTCTCTTCCAATACCCGTGTGTATATGGACGGCCAGCTTCTCCTTTGGGAACCGTTGCTCTTGGAAGGAGGGGTGGACGAGGGCGCTACTTGCTCGAAGCCATCCTCCGCATCCGCGTCCTCCTCATCCTCGCGTCGGACAGCTCTCGCCACCCGGATGGGCTCCTACCATTGTTTTTGTTTGTTGGTTCTTATCGGACCACGGCTGGCGGATCTCATTCAGCAGGTGTCCCGGTCGCAGGGGCGGCCGACGTTCCAGGCCTGGGAAAGAGGGGCAGCAGGGCCAGCAGAGCACCGGGCTCAGTCCCTAGGAGATTCTGCCTGTGTTTCCTCTTTATGCCACCTCATAGACGGTACTCAGGGCAAAAAGGGTCAAGGTTTAGCGTTGAAGATCGCGGGGAAGGCGACTGAGGACGTACGGCAGCTTTTAAAATCCTTTTTGGCACCCTTGGCGAGCGTTGTGGGTACGGAGCCTTACAGCGGCATGTGATGACCTGAAGATCTCGGAGCAGGATGACGGTAATCATATGTGACAGTCCAAATGGTCTCGGTTAAGTCTCGATACAGTCCGCGATAAGGTGAACGATACCTCCCTTCATCTCCTCACGGTGGGGGTCAAAGTAGTGAGCGGTCAGACACTTAGTTCACATATGGCAAGGGTCACTTGATTTACAGCCAACAAGCAATGAAAGTCACAGCGCGTAAGCGTGGGACGGTAGGAAAAGCACACTTCAAGAGGAATCGCAGAAATGTGCTAATAAAAAGTTCAAACCCCAGTCATTCGGTGATTCTTCTCACTCGCAGACAAGAAAGCGTTTCCCCACTCTTAAATATTTACTACTCTATCGGCACACCGTCAAAGCTGGAAGGAGACAACGGTCTCTTGCGAAGGAAAAGCCAAGATCGCGACGTCTGCCCCTCATTTTTTTCTGGCATGGGGGCCTGTACTTTTTTTGCTAAAACCTTGGCCCTAGATATTGAGGTTCTATTGCTGTCCTGGCTGCTAAGCAGTCTTTCCTCAGAAAAAAAGTCCTCGCACTCAATTTTAGCCTTCAGGCTCCATGTCTTTGCTAGCTTTTGTCGTTTTATTTTTTCTCGAATGACGGAAGGAAACTCCCCCTCCTGGTGAACATTCACCTCCTCCTCACATTTGTCGTCCACTTCGAAGTCTTTCATCGCGTACGCCTGTTCATTGATTCCCTGGTCTTGTGGCCCCGTCAACGCATCGAGTACATGGGATTGAAGAAGAGCAAATGGAATATGTGCGAGCCAACAGTCACTGATCCTAGTAGAATCTCCAATTTCACGATCCCATACAGATCGAAGCACTAAATTATAAACATGTCGGCGCCATGTCTTTTCATAATCTTTCAACAGCTTTGAGCACTCCTCCGCGCCAGCTTCGTTCGCCATGTCGACAGGAGTTTTGCCATGCAGTGCCTCTCGTACATGTGGATCTGGTCTAGCCTTGGTCAACAGTACTCGAAGAACGGGCGTGTGTCCACGATGTGCGGCGACATGGAGAACCGTTTGACGATCGTCCGTCCGAATGTTAAGATCCAACGGCACGGCCTGCTGTTGAAGGAGCAAGGCGACCGCTTCAGAGTGCCCGTGGATGACCGCTGAATGAAATGCGCGATGCACGTGCTTGACGGTGGGCAGGATCCGGCCATGTAGAAGCAGCTCCAAAATGTAGACATCACCCTGACGTGCTGCTTCTTCTACTGCATGCCTACCCTTACAATCCAATACATTTATTTGGTCTGCTGTGACACCATGAAGAAAGGCACGAACTACAGATGGAGCGTGATTAGCTGCTGCATGGACGAACTCATCGCTTGTGATGATTTTCTTTGAGGAGGAAGGCAGTATCCATGATGACAGTTCAGTACTTGTTCTTGTTTCATACGCCATCGCTAGGTGCAATAAGGGATGTGCAACATTAGAAGTCACATTAAGCATTGACAAAGTATGAGATAAATGAGAAACTTCATCGAACAAAGAGATGTTGGGATTTCAGCACTCTTATGACACACTTTCCGGGAGGAAATATGCACTTCAATTTAACGTTAATATATGAAACGGAACGTAGATTAATGTCCTTGTGATGCAATCGACTTGATCACCACTGAATATCTGGGAAGTCAAAATGAAAAAGGTGAGGATCGAAGAAAACACAAAGAAACGGCCACTGAGCCGTTGATTTGAAATCCGGGGATACGAGTTATCTCCGTCTTCTTGGCGCTCGAAGTCCTCACACAGAGTTTTTTGGTTGAACAAAGTTACCCGTACCCTCTTTCTCCCTATATTTAAGTACCAAAATACTAGTCGTATCCGTTCCATCTTTTCCTTCTACCATTATCGATTTTACGACGTGGAGAAGACTTGAAGTGGCCCCAGCGACGAGTACATCGTCGTAGATGTTGATGCCTCTGGCATGGTGCGCGGTGTTGTCGTCGCCTTGGGAAGCGACGATTTGGGCGTTGATCAATTCGCTAGAAAGGGAAACGCCATTTGTGGCAAAAAATTACAAAGTGACGTGTGAATGGCGGGAGAACGCAGGGACTTAGGAGGAGCTGAATTCATTTGACAGGTCTCATGCCACTCCTCCCTTCTATATCTCAACGTTTCCATTTTCTATCGGCACATTCATGTTTCCTTCTTATCCACTATCTGCGCTGATGCTCGCCCAAGGGTCTAGACAGCACGCGGCGAGGCTTATTTGTCCTTCCTTCTGAGTTTTAAGCATCGCATCTGAGCTATTACAGGGTGATGTCATGTACCACATATTGGATTTTATCAGATACATAATCTTGTCGGGCTTGTCCTTAGTCCAGCACATGTGGAAAACGTAAGGAGTGTGATTCCGTGCTGTGAAGGAGGGGTGTGTGCATCGGGCGCACTGTGAGATACCTTTCGGATCGTTTTAAGATCCCATAACACATCCATACAGGTCACCTGATGCATGTCGCTGTTCGTTCGACAAATTCAGCGTGTCTTGATCGTGCCCCCCCTTCTGTTGTCTTTTTCCCCTCACCTGTAATTTCCCTCATCAAAGCCTTCTGGTGGTGGAAAACCTGCCCCTGCGGGAAATCCCTGTCAGGCAAGACTTTCACCTTCATGCCACTCCTCGACATGTGCTCCGTTATCTCCCGAATGAAGACCGTCTGATGGCTCGCGCACTGTCTGATGGCGTCGTATGACAACAGGAGTCCTTGCATGAAGTGGATGACGATGGGATTGGACCGCAAGAAGTAAAAGCCACTATTGGCGTAAAGGGGAGAAAAGCGCTCTGAGCGCGCGCCGTCGTCCATAAAAAACCCGTCGATGCTTGTGTCCGCGAAGGCCTCCCATGGTGATTTGAGCCACACGAGGTCTGCGTCCTGGAAGAGGACGTGGTATCCCAGTCGGATGGCTATCCACACGGACACGACCTTCAACCACATCATGACCTGGAAATTCTCGTCACCGTACCTGGAGGAAAGAGGGCGATGATCGGGACATGAGAAGAGGAGGATGAGGGAGCCAAACGCCGGAGCCGAAGGTCACGAACAGGACTTTCCTGCGTCCACTTGCTTGGGCACTTCTTCCCGCCATCCCACTGCCCAAGCCCCTGCCTTCACCCTTCAACATCGCCGCATCAACTCACCGCCCGGAGCGTTCGCTAGGCAAGGTTCCGAAGCCGGGATGGGAGAAAGCGTGCAGGTTCAGGGCTTCCGCTATGTCCACCACGCTCTTGTCCGCGCTAATCACGACCAAATTCTCCACCGAAATGCTGGCTTGTCGTGCCGAGCATACGAAGTTGACGAGCAAGTCCACGTCACCTTCGTTGAGGGCCATGATCAGCAAGCGCTTCTGGGAGTCGGCCGCCCGGGCAAAGAGGGCGCCGGCTTTTTCCTCCAGGTCTGGCAAATTCGAGAAAAGCTCAAGCAGAAAGCCTTCTTGACTACGCATGTGTGTCATTTTCGGTGGCCGCGATCCCTCAAGGGAAATGCGCGGCTTCAATCTCCACGAAGGAGGACGCAATGCTTCTACCTCCTCGCCTGCCTGCTTGTCCTCTTTCGCTTCCTTCTTCCCTCCCTCCTTTCCCTCCACGGGTTCGGGAGCTACGGGCGAATACCGGTGCACGTGGAAAGAGGACTGACTCATTTGCGTGTTAACCGCCACGTAACACCGTTCTCGGGCCAGGGCGATGACGTCCACCTCTTTGCATGCCTGAAGGTCCTCGAAAGGGAAGGTTCCGTCGGCGGAGGAAGGGGAGCGCAAGGGTAGAAACCCCGAGCCTTTGGTCATGAACGCCATGGCGTGGTCCGACACCTTCGACTGATTTTTTAATGCGGGGCGCGATGTATTCGTGTTGAGCCAAGGCGGGCAAAACAAAACATAAAGCTTCGTTGAGACACCGGTTAGTGCGTACCTGAATCTTCTCAGGTACAAAGGGCAAGAACTCAGAAAACGCCCGTTTCCCGTCCACAAAGCCGTGGAACTCAAGCCCTGCTGCCTCGTCGAGCGATTGGAATAGAGTCGTCATCTCCGTCGCACCGGATGGGGGGGCACCCGTGTCGGTGCTTGCGTCAGTCACGGTCTTGTCACAAGGCTTGGGGGGGGGGGGCATTTCGGACACTGCTGACATTTCTCGCACCTGTGACGAGCATCCATGAAATGCGGGAAAAAATCGACCCTTCAGTTTGTTAAGTCGCTATACATTAGGTTCACGCTTCATATTCATACCCAACGTGCTGCTTGTGTACGTTACTTACTTGGCGCATGGCGGGCACGTGGGAAGGGGGGGGGGGGG